TACACACACTTACACACACACACACACACACACACGCACAGACACACACACACACACACACACACACACACACACACACACACACACACACGCACAGACACACACATACACACACTCATGCTTGTGTGTGTTTTTTACAGTAGTTGTGTTTAACACTCTCTCTCTCTCATGTCTTCAGTCCAGGTCGTTCTCACTCCTGCTATGACAATGAGATCATCATGATGAATCATGTTTACAGGGAGCGTTTCCCCAAGGTAAAGCTCTCATACACACACACACACACACACACACACACACACACACACACACACACACCTGTCTCACACCACACCATCTGTCTACCTGTTTCTCACACTGCCTACCTCCAGTGTCATCTCTCAAAATCTGTGAGCACACCAGCATATATACAGTATATATCCCTCTACCTCGGATGGTTCGCCACACTGCATTCTGGGATTGGCTTCTCTGTGAAGAATGCGTACAGTGCTGAGATCCAAAATGAGACGATTTTGCATTATTATTCACATTATTTCTAAAAATAGGACGATAAAAAGCTATAACATTAGATGCTTTCTTCTGAGATGTTTCTCTTGGGAAAAAGACCTCAGTAATTTCAGAGCTTCAGAAAAGATCTCAGCGATGTCTCAAACTGAGCTCAGATTTGCTCAACATCCAAGTCAGAGATTTGAATATGAACTCAACATTTCTCATCAAATGAGCTGAGTTGCTCTTCACATTCATTCACAGCTCTTTACTCTGACCGGATGATGACCAGTGTCTCAGTGCTGACCTCGTCACGCGGAGCTCTCTCCTAACATTAGCCGTCTTAGAGGAGACTATATCGATTTTTACTTAGACAACATGCCGCTGTGTGAGTGTGTGTGTGTGTGTGTGTGTGACTTTAACTGGTGTCTGGTGTCTGTCTCTTAGTTTGCTGTAAGACAAGCACACTTTTTATTGTCAGAGTGACGTCAGGGTAACTGAGGACGACTGAAATAAAAAAACATCTACACAACTATATATTAAACATCATACATTAAAATATTAAAATACTATTTAATATATATATATATATATATATATATATATATATATATATATATATTGTAATATTTTCTACAATAGTAGTTTTTCCTAATATATATATAAAAAGTAATGTAATAAAAAATCTAAAATCTTGTTCTACACAACTTTAAACATCTGTGAAATATTAAAATATTATAATACTATTTAATATATATTATAATGTATATTAAATATAATATTTGATAATATTATTGTAATAATATTATTTCTAGAATATTTATTTAGTAATTTGGTATAATACATAAATAATATTTGATACATATTTAGTATTTCATAATATTAATAGCATTTTATAAAATATTTAACTCTTTTGTAATGAACAATATAGAGATAATATTATTTAATATTAATAATAATATTACAAGATCATTTATTTATTATAAAATACTTATTATTACTTTTATTTATTATTCTATAATATATTAATATATATTATTATTATATTATTATTACTATTATTATTATTAAAGTATGTACCGGTAGTAATACATGCATATTCTAGAAATTATAATATATATAATAAAAAATAATTTAATAATTATAATATTATCATTATTTCTAGAATATTTATAAAACACTTTTTTTATCCACCACATGGCCTGGGCCAATGGAGAATCAGTATTAATTAAATGCTACTATGATGCATTTTGGTTTAATATTTTGGTCTATGATGCAATATTATGATTTTAGATTTTTTATTACATTACTTTTTATATATATATATTATGAAAAACTACTATTGTAGAAAATATTATTACAATATATATATATATATATATATATATATATATATATATATATTAAATAGTATTTTAATATTTTAATATATGATGTTTAATATATAGTTGTGTAGATGTTTTTTTTTTTACCCTGACGTCACTCTGACAATAAAAAGTGTGTTTGTCTTACAGCAAACTAAGAGACAGACACCAGACACCAGTTAAAGTCACACACACACACACACACACACACACACACACACACACACACACACACACACACACACACACACACACACACACACACACACACACACACACACACACACTCACACAGCGGCATGTTGTCTAAGTAAAAATCATTATATTCATATATATATCATTGTTTATCTCCATCTTGATGAGTGTGTGTGTCCCCGTCAGGCCACGGCGCAGATGGAGGGCCGCCTGTGTGACTTCATCCACACATATTGTCCCGAGAGCGTTCTCCCGCTGGCCGACGGGGTCCTGAGCTTCATCCACCACCAGATCATCGAGCTGTCCAGAGACTGCCTGACCAAATCTGGAGAAGGCCTCATCACGTCGGTCTACTTCTTCGAGCTGCAGGAGAACCTGGAGAAGCTCCTGGACGACGTGAGTTCACCGCAACACAACCGGCTCTTTACTGGAACACGGGAAGGAATGAGGATATATTATTTAGATGTGAAGTTTCAATGCATCATAGTAGCATTTAATTAATACTGATTCTCCATTGGCCCAGGCCATGTGGTGGATAAAAAAAGTGTTTTATAAATATTCTAGAAATATTATAATTATTTATTATATATAATTATATATATTATAATTTCTACAATATGCATGTATTACTACCTACTTTAATAATAATAATAGTAATAATAATAATAATTATTAATATTACTTTTAATAATTATATTATTATTTCTAATCTATTATTATTCATATTTTTTGAGTATTTATACAATATTATGTATAAGGTATTTATAATGTATTTATTGCCACATGACCAGGGCCAATGCCATTTCTGTATATATTATATTACTAGTATTTTGTAATAAATAAATAGTCTAGAAATAATTGCATAATTTATTATAATTTAATTTTTAGAAAATAAATATATGTATTAATATTATTATGCATTATATGCATTATACATATATATTTATTTATAGATTCTTAATAATATTAAATGTATTTATAATGTATTTATTGCCACATAACCAGGATCAATGACATTTCTGTATATATTATATTGTATTGTATTATATTATATTATATTATATTATATTACTAGTATTTTGTAATAAATAAATAGTCTAGAAATAATTACATAATTTATTATAATATAATTTATAGAAAATAAATATATTTATTAATATTATATGCATTATGCATATATATTTATTTCTAGATTCTTAATATTAATATTAAATAATATAAAATGTATAATGTATTTATAATGTATTTATTGCCACATACTGTAACCAGGGCCAATGAAATTTCTGTATATATTATATTATAATTTAGTATATTATATTATATTATATTACTAGTATTTTGTAATAAATAAATAGTCTAGAAATAATAATAAAATATAATATAACACATATTTTGTAATATAGAATGTAGAAATACATCTTTATTACATGCATAATAATATGAATAAATATATTGTCAGTGTATGCATCTCTGTTTCTCTCTATCTGTGTCTCAGGCGTACAAGCGGTCAGAGAGTTCAGAGTTGACCTTCGTCACTGAGTTGGTGAAGAAACTCCTCTTCATCATCGCTCGACCTGCACGACTGTTGGAGTGTTTGGTGAGGAAAATCTTCTAACTTGTTCTTTCATCCATCGAAGTCTCAGATAATCATCAGATAACATGACATCAAACCCCTCTGGACTCCAATAACACAAGCCTGACCGTTTCCAATTTTTCCAAAAACGTATTGTGAGCCAGAGCGCGTTGCATTAGCATTTAGATTGAAGCAGCGTGTTACTGTTATCATTGACCTTCTGTGATTCACTGCCTCGAAATCTCACACAGTCATTTGAAATGAATCTGAGCTGCTCCAGGATTAAACCACATAAACGCATTATTACCCCCATTAAACCGAGAAGCTCATAAAATGAGCTTTCAGCAAAGTTTGGGCGAATATGTCCATGCACTTCAGCAAACTACAAATGTTCAGTTTAATTCGCTACAAGAACGGAACCATATAATTCCAAACCGCGTCGCAAGATTCTAAGATCACCGTAGTAACCGATAGCACCAGTGATTGATGTGTGTGTGTGTGTGTGTGCAGGAGTTTAACCCTGAGGAGTTTTATCATCTGCTGGAAGCGGCTGAAGATCACGCTAAAGAAGGACACCTGATGAAGACCGACATCCCACGCTACATCATCAGCCAGCTGGGCCTGACACGAGACCCTCTGGAGGGTGAGCCGCACACTCACACACACACACACACACACACTGACTCCATTATAGAGGAACTGTGTGTGCTGACCGTCTGTGACGTGTGTGTTTCAGAGATGGTCAGTCGAGAGCACTATGATAGCGAGGGTCCCGTCACACCGGAGACGGACGATTCTGCAGAGGTCTGAACACACACACGCACGCACGCACACACACACACACACACACACACTCAAACACAAACACACACAGACAAACATACACACACACACACACACACACACACAGACAAATATAAACACACACAAACACACACACTCTCACACATACACACAGCCCCAAGAAACTGAAACCGATTATTTGTCAGTAAAGCATCTGTTACAAGAGGATAATGACGTCCTGTGCAAATTATTCTAAAGTGTTCAGGGGATTTTTCTCTATTCCAGGGAAAAATGAAACCCATGAAGCCACCTGGAGAGGCTGATTTCCAGACCATCAAACTAATCAGCAATGGAGCCTATGGGTAAACCAGCTCACACACACACACACACACACACACACACACACATTAGATGCCCCCATAAACCATGTTTACGTTCTAATACCCGTGTCATTATACACATGTGTCCTCATAAACCATATATACAAGAGCACGCACACACACACACACACACAGAGAGAGAGAGAGAGAGGAGTTGAGGCAGTGACAGAGGTTTCCGTGTGTTTTCCAGCGCGGTGTATCTGGTCCGTCACCTGGAGACCCGTCAGCGCTTCGCTATGAAGAAGATCAACAAACAGAACCTGATTCTGAGGAACCAGATCCAGCAGGCGTTTGTGGAGCGAGACATCCTGACCTTCGCGGAGAACCCGTTCGTGGTCAGCATGTTCTGCTCCTTCGAGACCAGACGACACCTGTGTATGGTCATGGAGTACGTGGAGGGTGAGACACACACGCAGTTTGATCACTCTTTTACAGCTCATGAGACTTTATTGTGCCGTATATCCGAGTGAAGCGCTTCTGGAACAAGAACAAATGTAGGCGGGGCCTGATTTTGTCCGTGTGGAATTGATTGGATGGTTGTGGTTTGCTATTGGCTGATCTCATGTGAGTGACAGGTTGCCCCGCCCACATCATCAGAGAAGAGAAGAGATGCTGTGAAGGAGGGAGGGGAAGTTATTTTGATTAAGGAGAAACATCTAAAACGCAGGAGACTTCTGTCTTATGAGACACAACTGAAGATTGCATCTGTGTTTTGTGTTTCCCGTGGCTCAGGAGGCGACTGTGCAACGCTGCTGAAGAATATTGGAGCGCTGCCCGTGGAAATGGCACGCATGTACTTCGCTGAAACCGTCCTGGCGCTCGAGTACATTCACAACTATGGAATCGTGCACCGCGATCTCAAACCTGACAAGTAAGACGCCTCCTGGTGGACAAGATTGAATCAGAATATATCTGAATTGTATTTTATGAGGACAGCAGAGAGCGTTTCATTTACTAAATGACCCTGCGCATTCAATTAAACGATTGCTGGGATTCATTTGCCTTCTGCTGGGTGGTGACAGACACTTCCTGTGTGAGATTAATGAAAATCATTTCATTCGGACAGATTGTGTTATATAATTAAACACATGTCAGGACTGCCGCTCAGCTTGACAGTGTGTGTTTGTGTTGCTGCATCACATGACCTCTGTCTCTCTCTCTGTCAGTCTGCTCATCAATTCCATGGGACACATTAAACTCACGGATTTCGGTTTGTCAAAAATGGGTCTCATGAGTCTCACCACAAACCTGTACGAGGGACACATCGAGAAGGACACCAGGGAGTTCCTGGATAAACAGGTATGAGAAAATACTGTCTTTTAAAAGAATGTAATATTGTATTAGAAGACATGGATCACAGACAGGGACTAAAAGCCACAAAATGGCAATTTTCATTATTCATGAAATCTTTAAATTATTATATTCTGTCTGTTTAGTGTAGTTAATAATTAATGCCAGTGTCACAAGTTGCCAATAAGCAACAGCAACATGCTAAAAATGATTTCAAACGCCAATATGCTATAAATAATTCCAAATACCAACATTCTAAAAAATAATTCCAAATACCAACATTCTAAAAAATAATTCCAAATACCAACATTCTAAAATATAATTCCAAATACCAACATTCTAAAAAATAATTCCAAATACCAACATTCTAAAAAATTACTCTAAATACCAACATTCTAAAAAAATAATTCCAAATACCAACATTCTAAAAAATAATTCTAAATAAAAACATTCTAAAAATAATTCAAATACCAACATTCTAAAAACTATTCCAAATACCAACATGCTAAAAAATAATTCCAAATACCAACATTCTAAAAAATAACTCCAAATACCAACATTCTAAAAAATAATTCCAAATACCAACATTCTAAAAAATAATTCTAAATAAAAACATTCTAAAAATAATTCAAATACCAACATTCTAAAAACTATTCCAAATACCAACATGCTAAAAAATAATTCCAAATACCAACATTCTAAAAAATAATTCCAAATACCAACATTCTAAAAAATAACTCCAAATACCAACATTCTAAAATATAATTCCAAATACCAACATTCTAAAAAATAATTCCAAATACCAACATTCTAAAAAATTACTCTAAATACCAACATTCTAAAAAAAATAATTCCAAATACCAACATTCTAAAAAATAATTCTAAATAAAAACATTCTAAAAATAATTCAAATACCAACATTCTAAAAACTATTCCAAATACCAACATGCTAAAAAATAACTCCAAATACCAACATTCTAAAAAATAACTCCAAATACCAACATTCTAAAAAATAATTCCAAATACCAACATTCTAAAAAATAACTCTAAATACCAACATTCTAAAAAATAATTCCAAATACCAACATTCTAAAAAATAACTCCAAATACCAACATTCTAAAAAATAACTCCAAATACCAACATTCTAAAAAATAACTCCAAATACCAACATTCTAAAAAATAACTCCAAATACCAACATTCTAAAAAATAACTCCAAATACCAACATTCTAAAAAATAATTCCAAATACCAACATTCTAAAAAATAACTCCAAATACCAACATTCTAAAAAATAACTCCAAATACCAACATGCTAAAAATTATTTCAAATACCAACATTCTAAAAAAAATAATTCCAAATACCAACATTCTAAAAAATAATTCCAAATACCAACATTCTAAAAAATAATTCCAAATACCAACATGCTAAAAAATAACTCCAAATACCAACATTCTAAAAAATAATTCCAAATACCAACATTCTAAAAAATAACTCCAAATACCAACATTCTAAAAATAACTCCAAATACCAACATGCTAAAAATTATTTCAAATACCAACATTCTAAAAACTATTCCAAATACCAACATGCTAAAAAATAATTCCTTACTCCAACATTCTAAAAATGATTCCAAACACCTTAGCAACTGCATAGCAATGGTGGAGAGTTTTGTATTCATTAACACCACTTTCATTTTTTTCAGGAAATATATGCAAGTGTAGTTGATTAATAACTTTATTTCTCCTTGTCCATATGACCTGGCTTTACTTTAGTAGCATTTGCAGATATCTTCAATGAATTATAATTATAAATAATTATATTATGAATACATTTATTTAAATGTAATTAATGTAGCACAATTTTGAGCTCAAGTTCATGAAGTGTCAGTGCTGAAGTCATGCTCAGAGGCTTGACCTTTGACCCCAGGTCTGCGGCACCCCGGAGTACATCGCCCCGGAGGTGATCCTGCGGCAGGGCTACGGGAAGCCGGTGGACTGGTGGGCCATGGGCATCATCCTCTACGAGTTCCTGGTGGGATGCGTGCCGTTCTTCGGCGACACACCCGAGGAGCTGTTCGGCCAGGTGATCTCAGGTAAAGACGTCACAACATCAGATATTTTACACAGTGAAATTTTACAGTAAAAAAAAGCAAAGGATGTATACAAAGCACACAATGTAAAATATCTATAATAAAATATATAGATATAGAAGCAAACAATAGAAATAGTCCCATTTAACAGTGAACCTTTAACAGGAAATTCCAAAAACACAAAAAGCAAACAAATAGTCACATTTAAAAACATATATTTTTACTAGAAAATCAGACAAAATACTGATTAGAAAAAATATAGTGTCATTTCAAGTGTGTGTGTGTGTTTGTGTAGATTATATTGCGTGGCCCGATGAGGACGACGCTCTCCCGGCTGACGCGCAGCACCTGATCTCATCTCTACTGCAGACCAGCCCGCTGCTCAGACTGGGCACAGGTGACCTCACACACCTGCAGTCATGTGACCCTCTGTCACTGAACACATGCTATTGCACTCTGACTGCTGACATTCATTAACACTTTTGTCTCTAAATGTGGTTGTCGCATAAAGCATTTAGCATCGCATAAATAATGACAATTAAATAAGAATATTTATTTGCCGGAGAATAGTTAAAAAATTCAAACCCCAGTCCATTTGTGCACAATAAAACAGATGAGAAGGTCCCATAGACTTACACTAAAGGAGGGACTCGGGGTCTGAATACCATGGCAACAACATAGCAACCCCCAGAATAGCCCATCAACACCCTAGCAACCACCCAGAACTCCATAGAAAGAACCTAGCTACCATGTAGTAGCACAGTTAAAACAAATCAGAACTGCCTACACATAGTATACACTAAAACACCCTAGCAACCACTCTGAACACCTTAGAAACCACCTAGCAACCCCACAGTAGCAAGTGTAACGCCACCCAGTACCACCTAACTGCATAGCATGCACTAAAAAACACCCCAGCAACCACTCAGAATACCTTATAAACCACCTAGCAAAAACATAGTAGCAAGTTTAAAACCACTCAGAACCATCTAACAACCCCATAATAAGCACTTTAAGCTCCCTGGTAACCACCTAGCAACACCTTAGCAACCACTCAGAACACCTTAGAAACCACCTTGCAACCCATAGCAAGTTATAAACCACTCAGAACCTCCTAACAACCCCATAAAATTCACTTAAAGCTCCCTGGTAACCACCTAACACCTTAGCAACCACCTACTCACCCAAAGCCAGTTTAAAACCAATCAGAGCCGCCTAACATCAGGATGCCTAGCAAACACATAGTAGCAAGTTTAAAATCACTCATCTAACAACCCCATAGTATGCACTAAAACACCCTAGTATCCACCTAGCAACACCCTAGCAACCACTCAGAATCACCTAATAACCCAATAGTATGAACTAAAAACACCATAGTAACCACCTAACAACGGCCTAGCAAGCACTCAGACCATTCTAGCAACAACACAATGTCTAAAGAAAATATTAATATCTATTTTCGATGGTTGCTATAATTTGATTTTTTTTGGAGCATTGATTGTCTTCTATCATGCTGTCCTTGTGTATGGCTTTGGTCGAGTCAGACGTTCTGCTCACGCTGAATGGAGGGGTGTGTTTCTGCGCAGGTGGAGCGTTCGAGGTGAAGCAGCATTCGTTCTTCTGTGATCTGGACTGGAGCGGCCTGCTCCGACAGAAAGCCGAGTTCATCCCGCATCTGGAGTCGGAGGAGGACACCAGCTACTTCGACAGTGAGTGACGGACGGGTGGATTGTGTGTGTTTATGCTGGTGTCTGTTATATGTCAAGCGAAGTCGAAATATGAACTGCTGAGGCGTCGTTTCGAACACAATCAGGCCAAAACGAAGTACGTTTGGAGTTAATTTCGGGAGTTTGAAACAGCTTGCCAATGTGAAATTTCCGTAAAAGTTCACTCTGACTGGTAAACGCTTCCAATCTCCCATTGGTCAGTGGTGATGATGTAATAGGTGGGTGTGGCTCTGAGGCTCCGCCTTCTTTGATGTGGACATTTTCTCCAGTTAATTTTTCCTGTTGAGTCCGTAGAGTTCAGAAAACCGCGAGTTTCTTTATAGTAGAAAATTAAGTTGTAATTCTAATGGAAAGCAACACTGACACGGTTCTCCATGTTTAATACCGTAAAGCTGTTTGCTTTAACCTCTTCCGCTCTACTTGCCCGTGGACGGGGGCTAGAGCTACGTCATTATATTTAAACTTAATGTTTTAAGGTTTCTGGAGATATTATCACCCCATATATGGTATCATTTTAAATCTTAAAATCTCATCTTTACACAGAATATAATGACATTTGTGTATATGGAACACAAAGAATTAATATAAAGCTTAAAAATACAATCGTCACAAAATCGCTCCTCCCCCAAAAAGCGATGCAGAAATATAAATATGTATTTTTTTACGTATTTCACAAAACAGGAAAGTCATATATCAAAAGAAAGCTCTCATTCTCAGGAATGTGACTGTGTAGTTTGTTTTATTGTTTTAACATCATAGTTCAAATTATCTTCAAAATAATCGCGCGGTGAAATATGATTTCTGTGAAAAACAAAGACAAACGTCTCATTTCTACTTCGATTACAAGTGCTCTAAGCTAAAATCAGCCACAAACCCTATATCATCTTTTACCTTAGGATCTTTTCATTATAATAGAAAATGAAGTTGTAATTCTAATGGAAAGCGACATTTTTCATGTTTAATACCGTAAAGCCGCTTGCTTTAAAGCAATCTATTGTATAAAGAGCTACATGTAAATAAACACAATTTGACGGGAGTGCTGAATTGTAGATCTGGTGCAAACATCACTATGATCAGATCTGATGCTTTCTTAACTGCCGTTGTCTCACCGCTATCATTTTTATTTATTTTTATTTTGTTGTTGAGAGGAAAGCTCTCAGCACATATTTAGTTAGTGTGCATTCGCGAGTAACTCATCTGTCCGTTTCAGCGCGATCCGAGCGATATCATCACGTTCACTCGTACGATGAGGACGACACCAATGACGACGAGCCAGTGGAGATTCACCACTTCTCCTCCTGCTCTCCACGCTTCAGCAAGGTTTGATCTCTCTCATCTTACACTGAGGATTATGGGTAATGTAGTCTGTTCCAGGACTCATGTAATCTGTCTGAATCACAGGTGTACAGCAGCATGGAGCAACTGTCCCAGCTGGAGCACAAACCTGTGGTGACCCGCCGAGAGCCCAAAGCTCACAGAGAAGATCGCGGGAAGAGAGAGAGTCTGGGCAGCCTGACCCTCCGGGACAAGACCTGGAGAACCGGATCCCCTGAGATGTAGGAGCAACGACAAAACATCCTCCCAGAATATCCCAGCAGCCACTCAGAACACCTTAGAAACCACATAGTAGCACATTTAAAACCACCCAGAACTGCCTGACAGCTGCTTAGCGTGCACTAAAACACTATCTAAGAGCACTATCTATCAACCTTATAATGCACTTTTAACTATTAATTGAACATTGATGGTTAAAACCACCTTGCATCCCATAGCAAGTTTAACACTACTCAGAAAAGCCTAACAACTGCAAGCATGCACTAAAAACTCATTAGAAACCACCTAGCATCCACATAGTAGCAGCCTACTAACACCCTAGTATTCACTTAGCAACCACTCTGAACAAATTAGAAACCACCTAGCAAGTTTAAACTCAGAATCACCTAATAACCCCAAAGTATGCACTAAAAACACCCCAGTAACCACCTTGCAACACCTTAGCAACCACTCAGAACACCTTAGAAACCACCTTGCATCCACATAGTAGCAAGTTTAAAATAACTAATCTAAAAACCCCATATTATGCACTTAAACCCCCTACTATCCACCTAGCAACGCCCTAGCAACCACTCAGAACAAATTAGAAACCACCTAGCAAGTTTAAAACCACTCAGAATCACCTAATAACCCCATAGTATGCACTAAAACACCCTAGTAACCACATAGCAACACATTAGCAACCACTCAGAACACCCTAGAAACCACCTAGCATCCACATAGTAGCAAGTTTAAAATGACTCATCTAACAACCCGATAGCATGCACTAGTATTCACCTAGCAACCACTCTGAACAAATTAGAAACCACCTAGCAAGTTTAAAACCACTCAGAATCATCTAATAACCTTACAATATGCATTAAAACACCCTAGTAACCACCTAGCAAACCTGAGCAACCACTCAGAAAACCTTAGAAACCACCTTGCATCCACATAGCAAGTTTAAAACCACTCAGAATCCCCTAATAACCCCATAGTATGCACTAAAACACCCTGCTATCCCCTTAGCAACGCCCTAGCAACCACTCAGAACAAATTAGAAACCACCAAGCAACCACCTAGCAAGTTTAAAACCACTCAGAATCACCCAATAACCCGATAGTATTATGTTATTAGGCCGTGATTCTAAACCACTGACGGTCCTCCTTTCTCTGTATAGGAAGCGTTTGTCGTGTTCGGAGTCGTCCTTCACAGAATCAGACTCCAGTCCTCCCGGAGCTCGCCGCCGCTTCTCAGCGCTGATGGACACGCACCGCTTCGCTTCTCCACTAGAGGGAGACGGTGAGGTGCACACGCGCCAGCCAGCGATCAAAGTCAGGGGCACGTCACTAGAGGGCGCCAGCGTGCCCGTCAGCTCCGGACTGATGGAGTCAGTGGGACATCCGGGAGGTGATTTGGTTTTCAAATAAAGAGAATCATTTCATACATTTATACTGTTGTGTTCCTAGGTGTCAGTCACTCTAAAACTCATATTAATCTTCCTGTTCCTCAGATAAACTTCTGCGGCCTGCCGATGCCGCCGTGCCTCTGCACATCCCAGACTCGTTTGGGCCTCGAGTCGGAAGTGACCTCGTGTTACGAAGAGCCCGACATCATCAGATTCCCACCGCCGACAGTGGGAAAAGCACCGCGACTCGCTCCGGCACCAAAGTCATAAAGTCGGCCTCGACCACGGCCCTGTCTGTCATCATACCTGCAGGCGAGATATCATTCCAGACATTCCAGATTTATTATGATCATAGATACGCATCAACATCCAATATAACAGCACTTCAACATTAAAATAAATGCACTGTTGTTTTTATTTAAGTATTATTATTTTGATGTACATGACATCATGTTTTTTAAATATTTAATTAAATAAATGAAATACTTTTAATTAATAATGGTTAATAATTAATAAAAATAAATAAATAAGGCTCTATAAGTGTATTTTAAGTTTTAAAAGGTCAATAACCTTCAAAATCACGACACTACTTTTTTTTTTTTTTTTTGCAAAACTACACCTATAAATGCAAACTATAGTTCAAACACACTATAGATGTCAACAACTAATAAAATATGTTGATAAATACAATAAAGTACTATTTAGTTCTATTGAAGTATAATTTTTTTTTAAATCGTATTATTTTCTATATGCTTTTATAAAATCGTGGGGTTTGTTTTCTTTAATAATTAGCCTTTTTGTGGGCCTCATTTATGAAACATGCTCATTTCTGTAATAAAAACATGTGCATTTTTCCATGCAAGTTCTGTGTAAAAAATATAGAAATTTGCATGAAACTTTTTTTGTCTACAAACTACAAATCTACAAAAAATTTCACAACACTTTTCTAGTCAGGTTTTGCATTATTCTCAATATATGTGGCATTTACATATGAGCTTTTTTTATATTAAGATGTTTGGTTTTATTTTTCCTCCTGTAGTTGAGCAGCATGGCACGTCTCCATTGGCCAGTCCCATGTCTCCTCGCTCCATCTCGTCCAATCCCTCTTCTCGTGACTCATCTCCGAGTCGCGACTACTCGCCTACGGTCAATGTCCTGCGCTCCCCGATCACCATCCATCGCTCTGGGAAGAAGTACGGCTTCACGCTGCGCGCCATCAGAGTCTACATGGGCGACAGTCACGTGTACAGCGTGCATCACATGGTCTGGGTACGAACGCATTCGGAGACGTCCTACTGAATTTATAGCTGAGGAATGTGTTGTATGTGATGATCAGTGTTGGGGTTACCCATTACAAGTAACTTGAGTTACGTAATCAGATTACTTTTTCAATTAGCTAGTAAAGTATCGCATTACTTTTTCAATTTACAACAAAATATCTGTTACTTTTTCACATTTGTTGACTGACAGCTCTCCTGTCCCCATGTTGAGAGAAGTGTGTGCGCTGTGTGTGAACATGATGGTTATTTTAGCTCTAGACTAAATGTGAGCATGCATTTACTCGTCTCACTTGCACAAAAACATTCAGTATTTCTCAAAATGAATAAAAACTGTAAAATGCTAAACTTTTAAAATGAACTATATTAAATTACACAAATATACTTTATGTATTTAATCTCACTTTATTAACCAATGTCTTTGCTGCTGACCTTCAATGATCTTATTCAACCAGACTAATAAGCAAAAAATATTTTAGATTATATTTAGAAATAATAGTGTTGAACTTCCTTCTCCTGTATCCTATTGTTCTTTAATCCAGAATGGCAGAAGCTGAAAGGTTTGTTTCTACTGTACGTGTAAATATGTATTTCCTTCAGTCTGAGGCTTATTCATTTCACTTTTGGTGTGACAGGGCCTCAACATTTGCCAAAAATATAACTTTTTTTGTTGTTATTAAAAAAACAAAACAAGCAAGCCTAGCCCAGGTGAGAAAAAGCATGATGAAAAAGTGATGATTGACATTGCTTTCTTCCAATCACAGCATGTAGAGTGTGGCGGGCCGGCCCAGGAGGCGGGGCTTTGTGCCGGTGACCTCATTACCCATGTGAACGGGGAGTCTGTGCACGGATTGGTCCACACAGAGGTGGTGGAGCTCATCCTGAAGGTACGGGCATCACGAACAGACCTGTTGTTCCATCAATTGCTTTAAAAAATATATATTTAAAAAAAGAATAACTATTGCAGGAATACATACAGAAATTTTACAAAATACACATATCGACGACGACAAAAGAAAATAGACAACTAACAATATAAAAATAGACAAAAGGAAAAACAAAAAAGGTAAAGAAAGAAAAGAAAGTTATAATTTGAAATATATGTCCTTTGGGAGTGTTGAGTGTTTTAAGGTATTCAGTAATTTAACATCTTTTACCCTTTCTCTCGTCCCCCCACTCACCTATATAACTTTCTAGAGATAATATTCAATAACTTTAACATGGTGCTTTTGTAATTTCAGAGTGGCAGCAAAGTAACAGTGACGACTACTCCGTTCGAAAACACATCTATAAAGATCGGGCCGGCCAGGAAGCTGAGCTACAAAGCCAAGATGGCCCGACGCAACAAGAAGTCAGTTCCAAAAGATGGACAAGAGAGGTTAGTAAGAGAGAACGCCTTTGCATAAAATACACACCTCATTTACATAGTCACTTTACTCAGTTTGTCTCTCTCTCTGTCTGCAGTAAAAAGCGCAGCTCTCTCTTCCGTAAGATCACGAAACAGTCAAACCTGCTTCACACCAGTCGTAGTCTGTCCTCTCTGAATCGCTCGCTGTCGTCTGGAGACAGTCTGCCGGGATCTCCGACACACAACCTGTCTGCTCGCTCGCCCACTCAGACGTATCGCTCTCCTCCAGACTCCGCCCACCTCGGTCAGAGCTCCTCCCACTGCTGTATGAAGTGGAATCTAATTGGCTGAATCTGTGATGTCATTTATACTTGTTTTATTCAGTCAAAATGAGTGTTTCTAGACCAGGGTTTTCCAACCAAGGGGACACAAACCCCTGGGGCTTCATTATGATAAAATCAATCAAATGTTAAATTAAATTAAATAAACATGTATAATTACAACAATCAAAAAATATCTCTTTATTCTGATTTTGTACAAAATTATTATTAGTAGTAGTGGCAATAGTATGTAAATTTATTATAAGCATTATTTATTAAATATTATTTATTTGCATTGTACTACTTTTACTAGTTTAGCTTGACTGATTGAGATGCTGATTATGCTAGTATGGAAATGAAGATTCAATACATTGCACACATGCATGCTTGCATTACAGTAATAACAGCAGTACACAAGGGGGCGCTACAGTTACACTTTAATGTTTGTAACTGGATGTATATTTTATCCAGGCACCTTGCTTTAAACATATTGACTGTGAAAGACTGTTGACTAGTGCTGAGAATGCAAAGCATACATGAAAACCCCCCATTATGTGCCTCATAGCAGAGTCCAATGTCTCTGAAAATCAAGCCTGAAAGCATCTGTGTTGATATACATGCATTATATGATGCATGACACACAAGAGTATGATTGGGGTCTAAGTTTTTGAGTAGTCGAACAATTGTATTATAATGTGTGAACTCCTTTCTAGAGAACAAAAGCAGAATTTTGCCATGTAATATTGAATTTTGTTTAAACCTTATGTACTTGAGTGACACTTGACCTACTGAAGATGATATTTCTGTGGCGTGCGTTGCCTCTTTCGTTTTCCGGCAGACATGCTTTGAAATTAACTCAATTAGCCTTTGATATTTAACTTCAGTGGGTGTTTTGACTGATCATTGTGTGTCCTTTTCATGTTCCTTTGAGGTTCTGACCTGGTTCTGTCCTTGTCCTTTCAGGCACGTCGTCTCAGAGCAGCTCTCCCGCGTCCAGCACGCCAAACTCGCCTGCGACGTCTCAGCACATGCGGCCAAGCTCTCTCTACGGTCTCTCACCCAAACTCCACCGCCAGTACCGTTCTGCTCGCTGCAAATCCGCTGGGAACATTCCTCTGTCCCCGTTAGCTCACACGCCATCCCCAACTTCGTCCTCTCCTCCGCCCATCGCTGGACACACCGTCGGCAGCTCCAACACCACACAAGCCTTCCCCGCCAAGCTTCATGCATCCCCTCCAATCACGCGCCCCCGTCCCAAGAGCGCAGAACCCCCCCGTTCCCCTCTCCTCCAACGGGTGCAGTCCGCCGAGAAGCTGGGCCCGCCCCCTACGCCATCTTTCCCATCCTCCTCATCTTCCGTGTGCTCGGATAGGAAGGGAGGGCTTTGCGTGTCCATGAGAAAACACGGATTGGAGGTTGTGCATGCCGAATACCGCCGGGAGTCGTTCCACTGCGAACACGCTCTCCAGAGCCTGATGGAGATCGAGGGAGAGAATACACCCGGGGCTCCGCCTTCTCCACCCGAACAGACGCCAACGCACACCCCCACCCAACACACGTTGAGTCCGGCGAGGCATCTTGGAAGGCAGGACTCAATGACGGTTCGAGAGTCCGAGATTACACCAAGGAAGCCTGACTCAAGTGTAGCAGTTTTAAAAACCACGTCAAAAACCGAACCATTGGATCCCAAATCAATCCAATTGGCCGAAACACCTCAGAAGGAGAAAGTTGGCTCAAAGTCTGAGTCTTCTCAAGTCTCAGTCGTCTCAATAGTCAAGGAGGGAGCTAGGGATGTGGGAAAGAGCGAATTTCTTAGCGTCACATCCGCAATGGGATGTGGCTCAAAGACCCCAAATTGGACGCCAATTGTCCAGAGCTCTGGATCACAGGAACTCAAACGCCAGAGCCTTCAAACCGAGGGTCCTAAAGGGATGGAGAATGGCAAAACCGAGGGTCCTAAAGGGATGGAGAATAGCAAAACCGAGGGTCCTAAAGGGCTGGAGAATGGCAAAGCCACTGAAAAGATCCCGGCGAAGGAGAAAACCCCACCGATAGTTGCTCCAGAGGCAAGCAAGTCAGGTAAAGGACCTCTAAGCGTTGAGGGGACTGGACCTAGTATTGTTGCCGCACCTAAAGTCAAAGAAGCCATTCCTGTCCAGTCTAAAACCATTGAAGAACGGGTTCAAACCCCATCAGGGTCAACCAGAGCCCCTCAAGAGGAAATAAGGCGGCTGGAAGCGGTTGATGAGTCCCAAGCCTCTCCGTCTCCAACCGCTAAGTCGCCTTGCACAAGCAAATCCCGTGCCGTATCTCCTGGCGACAGGTCGAGCTTTGTGACGCAGCTCACCAGTGTGGCTAAAACTGTGCTTGGGCCGATGAAGTTGGGCTCTCAGGATGGCGGGAAGGGCAAGGACAGCTCCAAAACCAACGAGGACAAACGAGCCGCCACCTTGGGAAAGTCCGAGGCCTCGTCCGGGAGTCGCCGTGGGCTGACTGGAACTTGGCCCGGTCCTGGATCGTCAAAGCCTGAAAAGGCATCAAAGAGCTCTTCCAAACATTCATAATATTCTAATGGGAATATTCTGTTGGGAACTTTAAAAACAGAATGTGTTCCCAGTATTTGTCCAAATGCAGACTGTTCAAAAGACTCTACAGCCATCAAACCAAGACATAAAAAAAACAACAACAAAAAACGCAAACAAGTAAAGGTGCTTCTAAATGACCCTTGTCAAATGTGTTTGTGCATATGGCGTACGAGTGTGTGCACCATCATATGTGGATGTAGAACAAACCAGTATGTCTTTCTAGATGCATGTTACATTGTATATTGTGAATAGAAAAGTAAAAAAATAAGATATGAAAAATGAAATCAAGACCTAATGCTAGTGAACACTGCACATCCAATCATTCCTGCCAGGTCTGTAGAGGGCATGTACTTTCAGTCATCACCATATCATCCAATCAGTTTGTCAGATTTAGAAACGAGAGGTACAGTAGTTAAAGTGTTTGTTTACCAAGTGACCGACACTATAGATCTAAACACTCTCATTCTGGTACCTCGGCTATACTGTTAAACTGCAGACGGTAGCGCTATACGAATGCTAGAGGCAACAGAAATGGGAAATGATTGTTGCACAAGGACAGAACCGTGTGAATAAGTGCTTGTTTCTGCTGTCTTAATTATATTTGCACTGGAAATGCCCAGCAAAAGTCAACATGAAATCTAAATTGACCATATTTACTTTAGTGATGCATGTTCCTGGTGTTATTGTGCACGATTCATCAGTGCACGGCTTTCCCTTTCAGCTAACATCACCTTGGTCGTGCACAACGTTTAACCATCAGACTTTAGTCAGGGTAGTGCCATATATAATTTTTGACAGGAATGAAAACTAGGTTGTGAGAAACAGAAGTACAGTGCGTTTAATGGATTGCAATGTTGTTTAATCTGTGTAAAATCAACCCCTGACTAAGTTCTACTGTATAGTCAAATAGCTACTTTGTGGGAAATGCAGCCTTTCTAAGTCAATGCAGCAATTTAAAGCCAGTTTGCGTTATGGCAATAATATCACATATCTGTAGAAGTATATTTGAAGTAGATTATGGAAGTGAAATCAGTTGCAGATGTCGTTTCATGTTGACTTTTATGTGGCTCAATTTAAATGTCTAAACCGAGAAAGAGAGTCTATATACAGTAGTTAAATATGCCATGCTTGAGACTGAAGCAAAAAACCTCAAGGATGGCATCGTTATGAAATGATATTGAGATTATTAGACAAACTCTATGAAGAAAATAGCTCACTATATGATGTCATCCTGTTAGATTATATTAATAGGCCAGTAAATGCACTGTGGATTATACACTTGAATTCTTTCAAAGCCTGAATTATCCTTTTAGTATATGCAGAAGAGTTTGTGAAGTATGAGGTGGTCTATGTGTAGATGTGTTTAATTTTAATCCATCCAGGGCTTTTAATTCACTTTTGCTACATATTCGTGATCTTTTATAGGATTTTATTACGTAGTAGGATGACATGTAAACGTCTAGTGGTTTGCGAGAGATTAAATGATACGTTGGCAGTGGCTTTATGTGACATGTGGAATTGATCTAATCTGTTTACACTTTAAATCTCTCACGTTTGTGTGAACATACTTTGGAGACTCTCTCTGTGTGTGTGTGTGTGTGTGTGTGTGTGTGTGTGTGTGTAGTGAATCTAGCATGTATTTGGTGCCACATTAGTGCAATGATGATCCAAATCAGCTGATCCCTGATTGACTGTCTTTTGCCAATATAGGACTTTACACTTTACCCAAATGTTAACCTTTAGAGGGAGAAACAAATGATGGATTAAATTTTGGCTGGTATTAACATGGTGTTTTAGACATTGTACTATGATAATACCATATTTTTGGACATAAACAATGGTATTCCCTGGTTAAGGTAATAATTCAGTACCATGGTGTACAATATATCAGGTACCATCTTTGTACCATAGTTAACACCACTGTACTTTTTGTGAAGGTAGCATCATTTTTAATATGCTTTTAATATTTGGGTAGGGTGTATATGCCTTTATGACATGTTTTCAGATTGATTTGTGCTGTAAAGTGTGTGTGTGTAGGATAGACGGTGTCAGTGTTTAGATTCTGTAGAGACAGTTACTCGCGCAAGAGTACAAGCAATGTTACAGAATGCACTTTATTGATTTTTCTCTTTGTATTTATTTATACGTTTATAATTTTATTTGAATGATTTTTGCCCTGTTTGATTATTAAAATGGGAGGTTTTATGTTGCCCTTCGATACGCTGCTTTGCATAAATCTTCCCAACTGTTTTACCTGTGAATTCTTATATCATTGTTTATTTACAGTTTTGTATGATTTCTCACCTCAGGCAATGTTATAAACTAATGCAATTTAAAAAATAATAATAATAAAGTGCAGTAAATAATAAAGAAGCCAATCACATATTTGGTTTTGGGTTGTTTTTGTCTTCTTGCATGGGTTTGTAGATAAATGTTTAAATGATAAATGAGTTAATATTAGTCAGTTATAGGAAGGTCATAAAATATGATACCATAACTATACAATAATTATAAAAATTATAGTTTAATAAAAGTAATAACTTCATACATGTATGTAGCGCTGGATTACGTAATCAGATTCCAAAAATGTAGTACTTGTAGGCTAATTAGATTATATCACGTTTTAAAATGCTCATAATCAAATTACAGTTACTTTTTATGGATTACATGATTAACGATACATATTGTTCACACAATGGAAGTAAATAATTCATAGTTTATTGATTTTCCTTCATTCTTCTTCATACACAATCCCATTCAAATCTAATGTGGGAGAAGCAACCTCAGAAGCTTCTGACTCCAAGGAGAAGGTGACGGGTGAGTGCGAGGGAAGCTTAGCGCAATGGTCGCGATGTTGTCTTTTCAGACAACATCGCAACAAGAGCAACTTCTCCATCCCTAGGGGGCCCGTCCAGGTTCAACGTTCCCGCTGTCGCTTACTACCTGGCCTGGCAGCGCCTGGGACGGGCTGGGCGCCCCTACTGCGGCCGGCTCCACGCCGAGACCTGGGTGTAGGTTGCTGCGACGGTCCGGCGGGAGCTGAGGCGGCTGCTGGCGGACGCCCTTGGCGACGGGCAGGCGGAGGATCTGTCCCCGGCGGACGGGTGAAGGCAGCAGCGGGCGCCGCCGGCGCAGGATGTGTCGGAAGGCCTCTGTCTGCGCCTGGGCGGCGGAGAGCTGTTGGGTGCAGCGCTCCACCACGTCGCCGAACAACCCAACCTGGGAAATTGGGGAGTCCAGGAACCGAACCTTGTCCGCATCCACCATCTCAACCAGGCTGAGCCAACGATGGCGCTCCTGGACCACTAATGTGGGCATCGCTAGACCGACCGCGCACGCTGTGACACTTGTGCCCCGGAGGGCGAGGTCGGTAGCAGTGCGGAGCTAGGCTCTGCTCTGCTAAGCTCTTACCGCCAAACCTGACGCGAGCCTACAGGCCTGCAAGGGGAGACAAGGATCCCCCAGATGCAGCGGCCGTCGGGCACAGGTGCACCTGTGTCGCGACAGACCGCTCCACTGGAGGGACAGCCTCATAACCCTTCACCGCTCCTCCCTCAAGGGTAGCGAGGGGGAAAAGCTATTCAGGCAGTTTGCCGTCCACAACCTGGTAAGCTCTCCATGCACTTCGGGAAAGAAAGGCATTGGGCGGCGAGCTGAGAACCAGCACGGCCCGCCCCGAGATACCAATCCCCCAACCGAGACTGAGCGGGACACGGTGGAGGGTTCCACTCGAGCCCGGCAGCCTCGGCGGCCCGTTTCAGCATAGCTGACATTTCTGGATCTGCCTCGGGCAACGTTACACTCCCAGAGGGAGATAACACAGCCGAGTCGTCATCTCCAGAGGCCAGCTCACCCTCTGATGCTGCTATCGACATCTTATCCTCTGGGGGAACCCCAATTGAAACGGCTGATCGGAATTCCATCGGCTGTGGTGTGATGGAGGAGTGTTTGGCTGCTGTAATTCAGTTATAACAGCCAGATGAACAAAGAGAAAAAGGGATCTAATTGTGTTGGCTGTGGTTTAATTTGCTTTATTCTTACTATCTTATTTTATTTCTGCTGGTTTTATGTGATTTTTTATTTATTTTTTGTCTCTTGTTTTCTAATGTTCGGAGTTGATCTGTTTATCTGAATATCCTTGTCAACATTGCTGAGATTCATACACTGGATTTTTTTGTATCAGAATAACTTAAGATATCCTTTTGATTACATCGAAAATGCTAAAATTATTATACCGTACAAGGCAGTTCTGCTATAATCAATAAAGTAAATCTAACTCTGAGATTAGGCTCTAAATGAGTTCAGTGATTCAGTTAAAAAAAAAAGAAGTGCTTTTTCTCCTTCAGTGATTCTGCTTGTTATCATCAGGTATCTTCAATAATGCTCAATCATCACACAATTAATCACTTATTATCTCATTAACTTTAACACTCTTCAGTGTTACTTATAACACTCTGAGTGTGGATTATATAAACACAGAGCAGTGTTAATTTAACACTGGGGATTTTGCACTAAGATTCTGGGCACATTAGTTTGCCTGCATATTTTGAACACATCAGCTTGTCTGTATATAGTATTTATTATCAATAAGGTGATTTTTTTTTTTTTTTTTTTTTTTTTTTTTTTTATGTTTGGAATTTGCATTGAAAAATGCATTTGTGTTTCTGACGTGTTGGTCCTTCCTCTTTTGCTATGTATGGAAAGTTGTGACGGTGGAGTGCATACTTGTCTAACACTTCACACATTACTTTTTGTTGAACAAGCACATCAACAACAAGTTATTGGTAATGTTGTAAATGGAGGAACAACCTACATTTTCTACCAAATCTGATTGGTCATCTTTCTGAGCTTCTTTTCAATTATTTTAAATATGTAATTAAAAAACATGTACATTTTTATTTGTCCTCTGTTTTAGTAATTGTGTGTAATTATATAAGGAAAGTTCTGAATCACTCAAATCCATGTGTTGTGTTTTTAAAGAGGAATGGCAGCAGATGCATGCATGCTCCATGAAGCCAGCATACTAATCATGTTATAGAATGAACATATGTACAGTAAACATTTGCTGAAATTAAGTACAGTCCTATAACAGTATGAACACTATGACAATTTAAAATAATATTCTTAAAGTGGACCTATTATGGTTTTTCGAAAATTTCCTTTCATGCAGTGTGTAATATTTGTGAATGTGATGCACAAACAATATCAAACTATACAGATAAAACAGTACTGATATTTTATTCAGTTATTTATGCGGATCAGTTACACACTGCAAACGCAGCATATGTGAAAGCACTATAGCGTGCGCTGCTCCTGCACCGTGACCGCATACACACACACGGAGTATGTGTGAGACAGGCATAACGCGTCACAGTCACACTTACACCACAGGACTCAGCTAGAACATGTTGTGTTCTTCTGCCAGTTAAGACCAAATCAAAACTCATGAACACATAATGCTTGAGTTTGGGTTAAAAACAGCCACAGAAAAGCAAAAAATAAAGTATCTTTGTATATTCAATTATAAACTGAATGCAACTCTATGTTCATCATCAGCATCTTTGAAAGGACATCAGAAAGAACTTCTCACTGAGGTCAAGGTGCCTGAAATCCCAGTCATTATAAGCCTTTATAACATGCTTCAATGGTAGCAAGTAGAGTATATTTGCAGAACAAGAAATGTGTGGAAAGCGTGGATAGATTCATCAACATTAGAATTAAAACCAATTTATTGACAAAAACATCAGTTGTGAAGCTGGCAAATGCTTGCACACACACAATAATGCAATTATTAATGAATTAAATGTGTACATTTTTACTTGTAGGAATGTCATGTGATTTCACAGAAAACAGACGTTGTTTTTGTGTGTCTAAGCAAGGCATGCAGAGAAGTTTCACTTCCTATGAGAACTCAGGAAATGGACAGATGCCACACAGAGAGAGACATCAACGACATCAAGGTTTGACTATTAATCAATAAGATACATTTTATTAGTTTGTTTTCACTTATTCAATGTCTGTATATATTTTAAAGTTCAGAATTATAATTATAACAATTATAATTGTTATTTTTATAATTATATAATTATTATATATAATAGAATTATTATTATTATTATAATTATAATTGTAGTAGGTACAACCTTTTTATAAAAAACACAACAGGATAAACACATTTTACAAACTAAATCAATGTAAACATATTACAGCTGTAATTTATAATATGAGTTAGGTGTTCTAAAAAAAATTAAATTTAACTTTTTTATTTGCAAATTTATTAACAAAGGTCTGATATATGCATATAAGAAAACAATTTTATTTGGACTGTGGACTCATCAATAATGTGTCATAACTGTTGTCATAATGTCAAACATGTAAGATGATACATGTCAAATTGTCTCATATTTGAAAGCTTCTGTTCTCATCAAACTCTTCCTGTCAGCTATAGTGGCTTTCTGAAATACACCACAGCGGTTTCCTTAATGTCACGTGATTTACTACCAGCTAACAGACTTTTGTTATAAGAACGTTCTCCAAATATTCAGTGTTGGTTCTGGGAACGTGAAAAATGTCCAGTTTTCTTGACGTTAGAGCAGAGTTTCTCAAACTTTTTCTGCCATTCTCCACTTTGGAGGAAGGGAAC